CCCCCCCCCAAAGGCAGGAAATATAAAGGTTAAAACCAAGGGCTCTGAAGGGCAGAAAATCAGGATATTAATTTAAGGTACACATTTTAACAGCCCCCACAGAGCTCTACGACCTTGGGCAATCTACGTACTCTAAGTCTCTGTTTTCTCACCTGCAAAGCAGAGTTAAGGGCAGTGCTTGAAATTTGCCAGACACTTTCAATGTCCCATCATATTGTCCTCCCAACTTCATGGGATGGCTTTGACAGCTCAGCTACGGACCACGGTTTGACTCTGGGTTAGTTCCTTTCCCTCTCTGGGTCCCAGATAGCCCAAAGGTACCCAATGCGGGAGGAGACTAAGGCTCACTGCTCCCACTTTGCAGAAGGCAACAGGGCTCAGAGAGCCACCGCACCCTGCTCGAGGTCGCCCAGCCGGTCGCAACGCGGTGCAGCACGGCGCTCCAGGGCGGGACTTACCCGGAGGAGCGTGCGAGCCGCGCGGCTCACATTCCCGGAGGCACCGGGCCCGGGGGCTCGACGAGCGGGCTGGCCCGCGCACTCGCGCTCCCCGCTGTCGGCGAGAGGCGGCTCCAGTCGTGACAGTGGCAACAAGGAAGTGGAGGCAAGGGCTCGCGCGCGCATCCCGGGGGCTGGAGGAGCCCCGGCCCCGCGGCCCCGCCCGGCGACACACGGCGCGGAGTCGCGATAGCCCCTTTCGCTCCTACTCCTCAGAGTCGCGGTATGAGGTCTCGGAGGGCGGGTGTGGGAGCACAGGTTCACTCGGCAGGCTCTTCACCGACGCCTGCTGAGGGCCCCGGGGGGGTCAAACCCCGGGGAGCCCGAGGAAGACAGCAGAAACACCGGCGTCGCCGGGGCACCGGTTCGGCGGTGGGGGCGGCGGCGACAGCGGCGGCGACTCCGGCGACAGCAGAGGCAACAGTAACCTCGAATCATCTGGGAGACCCGTCCCGGCGGCCCTCGCGGCGCACCGGAAGCGGCTGCCGCGCGTGACTGCGTGCCTTCCCTCGCGCAAGCGCAACAGCCCAGCCTCCGCTGAGGAGCGGGCCCATAGGAACTGCTTGGAGATTTAGAGGGGGCTGCTAACGCGGACGGACTGCTTCCGGTCAGAAGTTCTGGAAGGAAGAGGAAGCTGCGGTCGCTTACCGCGGGACGTCTCTGCAGTCCGGCCCCCAGTCATTGACGTAGGGCGTTCAGGTAACTGGGGCGGGGCTGTGCCGAGAGTGGAGGATTGCAGGCACCGGTTGTCCTCGCAGAGGCTCGTCGAGCTCTGGGGAGCCTCAGCAGTACAACTCTCGGCACCGCGATCACGGCCTGACCCCAGGCCTCCTCAGTCAGCCCCCGCCCGTTCAGGATAGGGTTCTCCTTAGTGTCGCACTAAGCCGTCCTCCTCACCAGTGTTCTGCCCTGAACCCTTCTCTCCCACCGTCCCACACACAGTAATGGCAGTGAATTCCTGAAGTGATTCAAACTGAACTGAATGACCCAATGGAGAGGCTCTGGAATCAAATCTAGCTGGTATTGTCCGTTCCCGCCGATGTCACAGATTATGTTTGTCCCACATTTGTGCAAGTCCTCGCAGTACCTTCACTGTCTTTTAAATTTTTATTTTTCCAACACCATTTATGCCCTGTATGCCCTCTTCCACCTACCCACAACCCTCACTATCTTGCAAATGTGTTTCCAAAATGCCTACTCTTCCCTAGCTACCACTGTCACCAACCTTCTCCTAGTCACCATCATATCCTGCCTGGACTGATGCAATTTCTTCCTACTTCCACTCTTGTTCCTCTACAATCTATTCTCCAACAGCCAGACTGGTCTTTTTGCACTGTAATCTGATTAGGTCACTCCCTGCTTGAAACCATCCAGAGCCTTTTTGTTCACTGAGACTACAAATCAAATTTCTTGGCTTTGGACCTACAAGGCTTTGGTTTGGCTCTTCCTTCATTCTCTTTCCATGTCTCTTCTCAAAACGTAATTCCAAGAACGAGCTAGATAACACTCTATAGTACTAAGAACACTGGTTTTATGGTGAGCCTTACCTGGGTTTGAATTCCAGTCCTGCCACATGTAAGCTGTATTACGCATGTAAAGTAACAAATTATGTTTACGAAGTAGATCCTCAATAATTCGTTCTGATCTCAGTAAATGGCACCACCATCCACTGATCACTCAGTGCTCAAGCCAAAATCTGGGAGCTATTCTTGACTCCTCATGCACTTCACATCCAGTCCATCAGCAAGATCTGCAAAAACAGCCCCGAAATGACTACTTCCTACCATCTCCACTATTACTCTAATCCAAGCAACCATTATCCCACATCTGAACGCCTGAAGCAGCCTCCTAAGTAGCCTCCCTGCTTTTTCTCTGACACATTCAACTCTGTTCTTCACACGGCAGTCATCTTTCTCCTTGCTTAAGATCCTTCAGTGGCTTCTTGTGGACTCAAATTAACATATCTAAACTGTATGTGGCCTACTAGACTAGCCTTTAGATTTAGATTTTAGGGCTACCTCTTAGAAAACTGGACTTTACCCATTAGGTTCTCCACTTTGCAAGCAAAGGACTCTTTGTAAAGTGCAACTCTGATTATATTCAGAAAAACAAAATCAACCTCTAACGGCCTCATATTGTCCCAAGATCAAGCTAAAATCCTTAGTAGGCCTTTCTGTGATTTCTGTGTCCAAAGACATTTTTTTCCTCACCATGCCATTTTATTTCCTATAGTAATTCATTACCTTTACACATATTTCCTTCTATCTCATGAATTCCTATTTGTACTTTAAGGCCCAACATCAGTAGTGTTTCCTCTCTGAAGTGTACTTGTTGATCATCCCTACTTCTATGTTCTAGTCATAGTACTTTGTAACCTCTCTTATAGTATTCCTTATACTCTAGTGTTTGTCTTCTCTTCTTCCCTGGTAAGCTCCTCAAAGGTGGGCACTATGCTCCATTCATCTCTGTACGACTGGCATCGAGCACAGTGCCTAGCACAAAGAGGATGCCATGAATGGATAGACAGATGTGTGGGGGTGGTGGTAGAAGCCATTCTTCAGGAAGAGGCAGTCACAGCATAATTTCACAGCAGCTCCTCTTGTCCTTTGAGGATTCTCATGATAAAAGGTCTAAGCAGGCAATTACCAAAACTGCTACTGCTGGATCCTGTTTATTTCCTTCATAGCACATATCGCACTCTAATTTATCTATTTACTTATTGTTTATCTCCCTCCACCACATTATATTTCATAAGGGCAAATACCTTGACTATGTTGTTCATCACAGTATCCTTACCACTTGACACTTGTAAATATTCGTTAAATGAATACATACGACCAGAAACATTTTCCCACAGTGAACATCCTTCCAAGCCAAATGGTGATAGAGCTTTGAAGATCTCATTTTGGTGGAATTTCAAGCAGGACTATGGAGTGGCAGAAATAGCACTAATCTGAGTCAAGAAATCTGAGCTGCATGAACCTGGATAGCCCCCTTCCCTGGGCCTCAATTTCTGTATTTATAAAACAAGTCATATAATAATCCTTTATACAATGCATTGCTACTTGCAAATAATTTTTACCGTCTATTATTTCAATGTATTCTCATAGTAGATGGAGCACACATTTTTATTTTTATGGGGGCTCAGAAAGTGTTAGATTATTTGTAAGATCTCTTCTATTTCAAACATTCTAAAATAATCTCTACAAAACGTCAGTATCATGAGTCCCATCTTCTCTTGATTTTGTCTTTTTATTATTTCATAATAGGATTTTAAAGATTTTTTTTTATTGATTTTTAGAAAGAGAGAAAGGGAGAGGGGGAAAGAGAGAGAAACATCTATGTGAGAGTGAAACATCGATGGGTTGCCTTCTGCATGCCCCCTACCGGGGATCAAGCCCACAACCCGGGTATGTGCCCTTATTGGGAATTGAACAGTCAACCTTTTGGTGTACAGGACAGCACCCAACCAACTGAGCCACACTGGCCAGGGCTCCTAATAGGATTTTTTAAAAATCTGAACTCATATGTTCGGGGCAATTCATTAACTTTGGTTCCTGATAGGTACTCCATTTTGTCTTCTCAGTTTTCCACACTTGTGGCAAACAAACCATGAGGAGGAGCGGACACAGCCCTGGTAGTTGTGGCCCAGCCCTCATTCTGCACATGTGGCAAACAAGGGGAATAAGAAATGTCGGCAGTTCTCCCTGGAAGAGAAAATGATGAAAGTTGTAAAAGCTACTTAGGCAAGAGGAAAGGTGATGTGGCAAAAGAATTCAGTATGACTCCTTTTGCTTTGTCTACCTTCTTAAAGGATCATGCCAAATTTGAAGAAAGGCGAGGAGGCCTCTGTGAACTCCAGTGGGAAAGGATGAGGAATACTCTATGACGACATTGAGGAGGCTGTTTTTGCTTCGTTTCAAGATATTCATGCCAAAAACATTCTCGTGACTGGTTCTGTCATTTGGAAAAAAGCACTAAGTTTGGCCAATGTGCTTGGATATGACAATTTTCAAGCAAGTGTGGGCTGGTTGAACAGATTTAGGGATCTCTATGGAATTGCTTTGAAAAGTCTGTAGAGAGGATAGTGACAGATTAATGAATGGTTTAGGAATAGATAAGGTTAACAAGTGGCAAGCAGGGGAAATTATAAAACTGGTTGCTGACTACAGCCCAGATGATATCTTTAATGCTGATAAGACAGGAGTGTTTTTCCAGTTGCTTCCCCAGCACATGCTGGCTGCTAAAGGGGACCATTGTAGAGGGGGCAAGAAAGCAAAGCAGTGATTGACGGCACTCCTTTGTTGCAGTGGGGGATTGAAAAAAATGAGACCATTGATTGTTGGTAGGTCAGCCAACCCACACTGCCTTAAGAACGTCCATTCCCTCCCTTGTGATTACCGAGCCAGCCAGTGGTCACAGATGACACAGAATCTGTTCAATGAGTGGCTGATGCAAATAGATGCCAGGATGAAGTGGGCAGAATGCCATTCCACATGCTTCCATGCTTGGAAAGGATTCAGGTAGGGTATCTGCCCTCAAACTGTACTGCTGTCCTGGAGCCACTGAATCTTGGCATAATTCACACCATGAAAGTGATGTACAGGAGCCATCTTCTAAAATAGGTCCTCCTCAAGCTCAACAGCAGTGAGGAGCAAGGAATAGTGGATATCAAGCAGGCCATTGACATAATGGCTGCAGCATGGTGGTCAGGCAGTGGTGAAATGCTGGCAGAAAGCAGACATTGTCCCTATGGAATTGACAGATTCTGACAGAAGCAGCAGCTACTGAACAAGATATTGCCATTGAAAAGTTGTAGCACTCAGTGGCTATTGCCACCTGTGTCTCAAATGAAGTAAATTTCCAGGACTTTGTCACGGTAGATGATGACCTTGTCATCTTTCAGGAGCTGATGGATACAGAGGTCATCCAGGGTATAGTGGCTAGCGAAAGAAAATATTGATGAAGCTGAAAGTGAAGATGAGGGGGAAGCATCTTTTTACCACAGCAGCCAAAAATCACCATCACAGAAGCCATCTCAAGTGTACAGAGACTTAGATGGTTCCTTTCCACTTGCATAGATGTTCCTGATGCCATTTTTGGACAGCTAAATGGCATAGATGAATATTTAATGAGAAGAGTAGCACAAACTCTTATTGATTCGAAAGTTACAAACTCTTATTGATTTCAAAGTTACAGATTTCCTCCAAAGAGGCATTACTTTGCCTCTTACTTTGAAAGATGTAGCTTACAAGAACCTTTAAATCTTTAGATTTCTTTAGAGGGGATATTGAATTTAAGTTTTAAGCAACATAATTGCAACAATATTCCAGTCCTCTGAAATAATCAGGAAACTTCCTTGAATGGAATTTGGAAATAAAATTTGACTAATATGTGTGTTCTCTTTTGATTAACCCAGTGGCTGCCAAACTTGTCTGAACCTTAGGATCACTTAAGGATCTTTTAAAAATTTCCAAAG